ATTGAACATGTTTTGATATTTGTTAAAAGGATAATTAAAGTGTTAGCTGTGGGAATTGGGTCATCATTTTATTTGAAGCAGTTCTACATTTAACATCACTCATATATTGGTGTAAATAGTAATTCGAAAAACAATAATTATTATTTTTAACTGAACGGTAAATATTAGTATAGGATATTAAAAAACCGTAGATGTGGGTACAGGATAACGTCTGTCGGGTCATCTAGTATATATATATATATATATATATGCATTTATGTGAAAGAATGTATATTCCGGTACTCAGCACTGTGCCATGCATAGTGCCAAGCATAGTGTTTGAAGAACATCGTTGTTCACTTTACCCGGAATCATTCGCAAAAAACAAAAGACACGTTTGAAAATGATAGATACGGAAAGACCATAAGAAACGAGAGTATATATTTGCCATTTATACAAAAAAATCTATAGTATTTGGAAGACATTCGATTATCTTTGTTTGGTAAATTTTCCTTATCTCGACAATCCAAAAAAAATCTGGTCTGGTAATAGATCAACATTATAGTGATCATTATCAGGAATAGAAGACAAAATAATGATTAATAGATTTTCTATACAGTAGATATAAAAGTACGTTTTCAAAAGTCATGGCTTTAACATCTACTTGTATAAATAAGGTTTGCTGGCAAGCCAACTGAATTGCAATTTGAGGAAAAAATAGTTATTATCTACCTTTTGACAACGATTTAAATGATTTGCAAGATGTAATTATGTAATTTATCGACAGTTACCAAAAGAGAAATAAAAATATTGTTTGGACATAATCAAAATAAGCATATATTTATATATGTGTATAAGGTCTCCGGTTGACCCATTTGGCTAGAAGTTCTTGCTGCTTGATTTTTTCGATTTGGCAATAAACTAAACGTTTGAAAGCTCTGAAAGATTATAATTTATCTATATTTTATCTATAAATAGATTATAAATAAATCAATTAGTGTTGAAAAAGCAATATAAGAAAGCTTAAGAGTCAAGACATGGGGTATATGTTAATGTACCCCTGTAAAAACTGTTTTCAAAGAGGTAAGGTAGTCCAAAGTCCAATTTGATTTTGAGCAATTATATTGTGAAAACCAAGCATTATATCACAATAAATAACACATCAAACAAAAAACTATCCGACTATCTCCAGTGAAACTCCCACCTAATTTATCATTGTGAAAATATATTTATTTGCAGTTTTTCATAAATTTGTCACCTGGTGGTTCTTCTTACTAGATGGCATACAGATTTAATGTCTTATTTTTAATTTAAAAGGAATTTTACGAAATAATAGCTACAATATTCAATCATTGCAAAATATAAATTCCTGGGTTTATTTTTTATAGAAATAACACTGTATATAACCTTAATTTGGTATTTCGTTAAAAATAATCATTAGCATAGTAGGAGTAACTAGTTATTTGACTCATCGCTTGTAAAATTGCTTTTTTAATTTAACTTACTCTTTTATTTAATATTTATTACTATTATTTATTGATTTACTCCATTGTCCGCATAAAGAATCACATGGTCCTGTTTACCCCTCTAGAGGTTATATAAAAAACTGCAGAATCTCACTTAAAATCAACAATACATTTTATAAAACAATTAATTAAAGTATACTTAAAAAAATTAAAATATACTTCATATTAAGGTCTCGTAAACTAAATAACAGTGCCCACAACCAAAAAATCTAACAACGAAAACACATATGATTGGAATGTTTATAAGTGTGGACAATATATCTATATTCTTCTATCATACATGAATATTCTTAATCGATTTTTCAAAATCTTAAAAAGTTAAAATTACATCTGAAAATTATTGCTTTATTTTGTGAGAAAATTCTCAAATAATGCAAAAAAGTCCAACACACACAATGGTCCTTTTTTTAGAATTTCTGTCAATTAGAGAGGCATTTTTCTGAAAAAAGGCTTTGTTTCACAGTATACTTGTTCTAGAAATTTTATATTGAAATCCTCATGGTATTTCAATATCGGAATACTTCTTACGTCAATTTTCCTCGAAGCTAAATCAATAGTTTTCATTCTATTCATTCTTTCTGGCCGTTGTTTACTTTTGGTCCGAAAGGAAATATAGGAAGAAATACTAATTTGAAATGTTCTTGTATAATACTGGAATAATTTATTTAACTTTTATCTGAAATACGTTATAAGAATTATGTCTACGGGTAAAATGTTCAATAAAATACGAATAAAAAGTTGATAAAATGTTATGTATCTGGTAATAGTAAAATGTTGATCCATATGACAACAATAAAATGTATGTTTTTTCAATTGGAATGAATTTTATGAAAACTAATTATTATGGTTAATATTTGACATGACTTATTTTTATTCCAATTTAAAAGTTTTTGCATTTTTATTTTATTTGCCATTTATAATTTAAAAAAATAAACCTACAAATATTTATTTTAAGCAAAAACAACTGTCAACATCAACGTCTAACTTCTAACTAAATAAAATAATTGATACTTAATAATAAATAATTGAACAATCAAAGTAAATACAAATGTACTCAAGTTATAAAAGATTGAGATGTAAATTAATTTTTAACTGTTTATTTCAAAAATAAAATTTTCATTATTACAAATAGATAATAATCAATATGGTCTTGAATTGATATCTTTCAAACATACTTAGAATATCTGTGATTGTATCAATTTATTTTATCTATTTAGTATTCTAAAAGAAAGTATTTTATTTAAGTTTGGACGTCAACTGTAATCAATTGCTACAAAGCACAGAGCGCTCATGATGCTTGGTACAATTTCAGATTAACGTGCATATGCTCAGGCACAGAAATGGTCGTATACAGAAAAAGGTCGTATATAATTATTATGTAGTGGTGCATGGCATCGTGCATTAAGGCAAATTGTTGAAACTTCCCGTACCAAAAACTATTAAAAAAAAAACTTTGAAAAAAAATAGATAGAATTTTTTAAAATTCTGAAATTTTTTTTAAAGTAATCGCGCTTCCGAAAAATTTACTAGTTGTTCATTTCGTCAATACAAGTATTTTTTTTTTGAATTATTCAAATCGAACGCTCCGTTCTTCCAGAAACTGAAATACCATTTTTGGCACTTTGTACCCCGTGCCTTCGAAACGGGTAGGCTTGCTTTTGCCGAAAATTAATCAGTAAGTCTCCTTATCGGTAGGAATCGAATGTTTTTTGCATTATTCAAATCGGTTGATACGTGTTCTCGAAATCGTCTACAAAAATTTGTATCTGCACATACATACATCCATTTTATCTAAGGTATGCCAAAATGTTCAGAAACCTCTGAAACGTTAAAATTTATAAAAAATTCATTTTCTATTTTTTTGCGATTACTATATATTCCCTATGGGAAGTTAATAATGTTTTTCAGCAATCGTGTATTTATTATTAGATTATTTGATAATAATATTTGGTTAACTTGTAATAAGGTTTTTTATATTTATAAATGACATAGTAGGTACTTATACAAATTACTGATCGATATCTACAAACTTCGATTTTTTTAGAATATCACATATAACACAATTCAATATTGATTAAGCATTACTTAATTTCACAAAGAAATATTTAAAAACCACTGAACAGTATTGCCAGATATTGCACAAACATTGAACTGAAATTGCACAAGGCAGTGTTCCAACTTAAAAAGACAAAGATGATATCGTTTTTTTAATTGAACATATATTATGTACAAGATAAATAGTGCAAGTATTACACATAACAACACCACTATTTTTTAAAAATATTTAAATAAATTAAATAAATAGGTTTATATTTTATAAATTTGTATTCGAGGCTATACTATAGCCTCGAAACCAGAGAATCAATTTCCACCAATCAGTGCCACTGGCTACAACAAGAAGCTGAACGCATCTCCCAATTTTTATTCTGTGACCAGTCGAGCTTTGTCTTCGCTTAAAGTTGACAAAATATAATTGTGATTATTGTTTTTTAAGATAGTGCGAAAAGCTGAATCTGTAAGTTTGCAGATATTTGCAAGTATACACGTAAGTTAACTAGTTGATAATAAAATGGTAACATTTCTTTTGTATTTCCAAAAATATAGTAACTAAAAGATTAATGGCGTTAAGGGTTATAGGTAACAATAAGTTTTAAGTAACACCGTAAAAGCCTGAAAACGTGTTTTAGTATTTTTTTTTTTGGAAGGTAATGAAATTGTGATGTTGGGGAAGTTATATTTTATTTTAGCGTATATTTAAGTAACAAAATGAAAAATTATTGTAAAAAAATGGCGGCACCATGGCCACAAAGGCGACCAATAATTCTAACCATATACACAATTGTAGAACTATTTATATTGGTTGGGAGTTGGGATTAGGTTTTGGTAGAGGTCTGTCTGGCTTTTTCTTCGTAATTATTTTTGTAATCCAAAATAACATATTGAAATATTATAGGCCTACGATGAGAGGTAGAATTATAAAAAAAATAATCATTGTTAGGAATTGCGTCGCGGGCCTACAAGCGCTAATCAATGCGCAGCATATATATATGTTTTTTTTGTAGATTCCTATAGATTACAAATGATGTCCACACTAGAATATAATACATTTTTAGAACACTGAATATATAAAATAAAATATGTCAAATAAATTAATTAAATTTTAATATAAATATTTATAGGTTAGAATTTGCATTCAATTATCATCTTTTCTATCAATTTGCATTCATCAATAAGTAAGTCATTATTAAAAAAATATAAAACTCATTTAAAAAGACGAGTAAGGCCAAGAGTATATATATATATATATATATATATATATATATATAAATAATCTTAAATTTCAAAAAATTGCACTTTTTTCAAAAATTTCTTATTTAAAATTGCACTTATTTCAAAAATTAATAATTTAAAATTTTCCTTAAGGCAAACAAAAGTTACTTATATGTATAGATGAAAAATATAAAACCTATGGAAATAAAAAATATTTTATTATAGGTGTTTACAACACGTGTGAAAAGCAAATTATTAGAAGAATCCGATTTTTTTATTACGAGAATATCCACTTTGGTCCTGGAGAAAAGTAAGTATTTTTCAACATTATTAATATTAAAAATATCAAATTAAAAAATTATTAAAAATTACAATTTTTGAATATATTATTACTGCGATTAAAAAAGTTGAAACTAAAAAACTATATAGAGGTTTAAAAATCTTGTGAAATTTTAACGATCATTGTTTCATTTCAATCTACTTTATGTTCTAAAACAGTATTGTATTTAAGCTCACTTTTAAAAAATCTCAAAGTCAGTCAATCAACGCTAATCAGTAGTTGCCACACCAAACGGTATAGGTTTGGCGCTGTTAAAAGAGTATGCTTATTCGATTCGTTTCGACTCGTTTTTGTTCGGTTGGCTTCGGATTTGTGTTTCCATGATAACGTTTTTCCAGTTTATATTTCAAACGCATTTCCAAATTTTTATTCAGTGACCAATCGAGCTTTGATCATCTCTGCTTAAAGTTGATAAAATATTATTGTGTTTAAAATAACCTTGAATAGTTGAATTAGTGTGATTTAAATAACTTAGAGTGGTTGCAGATAATTGCAAGGACAAGAAAGACAACTTTTTTATAATTATAACATTTTTGTTACATTTTATAATATATAGTAACTATGAGATTGATGGCGTTGACGATTTTTTATAATTCTACCTTTTAACGTAGGCCTACAATATTTTAATATGTTATTTTAGATTTTGAAATCTATAAATTCATTAACGTCTAATGAGAATCGACACAAAAAATCAACAAATAATTAAGAAGAAACAGCCAGGCAGATCTGTACCAAAAACTAATTAACATGACTCTTAACCAATATTTTTATCTATTTTTTAAAAAAAAATATTTTCATCAACAAGAAAAAAAAATATTTTGTTTCGTTTTTACATTTTATATAACTTTTTCTAACAGTTTAAAAATGTTTGTCAACGGTTTTGCACAAAATCCTAAATCAATTTTAAAAATTCTGAAAAATATGGGTAGGGAATCGTGCTGATTAGTTTTTAGTAGAGATCTGCTGGTTGTTTCTTCGTAATTATTTTTTTTTTGCCGATTGTGATTGAACTTTGATGAAACGATTGATTTTGTAGTCTAAAATAACATTGAAATATTATAGGCCTACAATAAGATGTAGAATTATAAAAAATCACAAATGTCTGGAATTGCGTCTCGCGCCTATAAGCGTTAATCTTCGCTCAGCATATATATATATATATATATATATATATATATATATATATATATATATAATACATATGCATCTATTAAAAACAGTTATTTGAATATTGCAAGCATACACTATCTTTATATGTATAGATAAAAATATAAAACATATGAAAATATAAAATGTTTTATTATAGGTATCCGAGACTGAAAAAGTGTTATAAACCGAGTTTTCTCATCGTGAAATTTCCACCTACTGAAGAAAAGTGAGTATTACGAACATTATTGATAATCATAAATATTAATTTTACATGTATGAATTTTGTATTAATGCAGTCAAATTCAGTTGTTTTAAATGCGTTTAAACATGGTTTAAAATCAAATTAATCTTCACAAAATAATAATTTTGAAAACAAGCCAACTATAATTATAATTACAAATATTAATTCAAAATATGCTTTGAATATTAGTTTTTTTTATTTAATTCAATTTTTCTCAAAATATATTTCAAATTAATCACCACAATAGGAGTAATTTGCAACGTTTTTATAATATAATTTTGCTTTATTTCCTAATTTATTTCATAGCATTTTTAACAGTCTCTGCATTTATTCTGTTGTTAATTGTAATTTTTTATTTCACTAAATTTAACAATGCTTTACATTTAGCAAACATAATAAAAAATTATAATAAATGTATGGCAATGAATAGAAGTTACCAGTATTACTTATACTTTAAATTAAAAAAATGAGTAAGAGTAAAAATAAATATTAAATTAAATTTGTAAATTGTAACAGAGTTCTAGTGAATGTGTTCTGTTTTAGTCTTTCTATAAAATTAACAGACATTTGAGCAAAATCATTGGGAAATTTGTATATCAATAAGAATATTTCTGAGAGTAAAGTATAGTATATATAATCAATGTTATGCTGAAGATAATTTATGTGTTCTGTGAGCATTGTTTTATTCTGATTCTTATTTTTTGAACTATTTTTATGTTGAGAAACTATTTTGTGTGGATTTAGACAGTTTAATTTGTACACTAAATTACTTAAGATTTTCGGATCAAATTTAGATTTTAATTTTGTAAATAGGGTTGAAAAAGTATTATCTGAGGTAAAAACTTCTTTAACATAATGTTTATTAAAGAGTTGTTTCCATGCGTAGTAAAGATCGTTTATAAAGCGTAAAGTTATAGTTTTTACGTAATTTTTGCGGTTTGGAGTTTCAGTCAAAATTTTGTGGCAATTCTGATTTTGTGCAAATTTACCAGTTTGCATAATTTTTAAAAGCTCTTTATGAACATAAATTCATATTTTGGTGTATTTTAACTTAAATTCATAATTACAATTGTGTTCATTAGTGTTAAATTATTTTTGTCTGTGAGTACCTATCTTTAAATCCAATATGCTTACATCTTTTCTTTTTCTAAATTAATTATAAAAACTTTCCAATTTTCTACTGACGATCTCGATGAAGACCGAAACGTATTATGGTGTACTTTTGACTAATAATTGTGATCATTTTTTAACAATAATAAGATAATAATTCGAACTACTTTCGTATGGTTCTACAAAATCTTATATAATTTAAAAAATACACCAAAATATTATGTTTAAGGAGACTAATTTTTTAAACCAGACTCCAATTTATTAGCAAATTTTGAAAAAAATGTTCTGAACTATGTATTAATGAATTACGTTTTCCCGCGGTTTAAACAATTCAAATTGTGCTAAGTCCTATTCCAACTTAACAAAATTTACATAAAGCTCTGTGAAATCGCGTTAAACTCAAATGTAAATACTATTATTTACTCTTATGTTCTTATCGTATATATCCGTGCGGGATTATCCGCGTTATTACAGGCAACTTAAATAGGCGAACGGCCTGTGGAAAAAATACTTGGATGTTTCTTGAATAATAATAAAATATTAATATGATACTTATGTATATTTAGAATTTGAACTGTAAAGTTCTCGACATAAATAAATACCTTTTTGTTGGAAGTTTGGAAACTTTCCTGACCATTGGGGTATATACAAGACTCTTTATACAACTAAACCTTTTAATATGGCCAACTAAACCCTTGTATTATATTATATGTAACAAATTAATAGTTATTAATATTTATTATATGTAAAAATAAAATAAAAAATAATAATAACTGTGGCGGGGTTCGGACTCGCAAATATGAGTCTACAAATCTCCAACCGTTTCTATAGCGCACAGCGCATTTTTGAAACTTGAATTTGTATTTTAATTAAACCACTTTTCATTAGCCTATAATATTTTAAGGGGTTTTATTTGACTATCAACTCTATCACCATGCGAAGTCTCATTAAGTAAACCTTAGGTTTTTCTTGTTAGTATTCATTCACTCTGCATAGTTTCATAAAATTAACAGTAATTTTTATGTCATAAATGCTTTGTAGGCAAACTTTTGAGTTCACTCATACTTTATGATATTTTTATCATAAATCTATTAATTAATCCAGTTAATTTTAGCATGGTATATAAAGAGATTAAATCCGTTTTCCTTGTGTTTTTGGCCAGCAGTCAGAACTAAGAGTTTATAATTTATTATAATATATTATTCTTTACTGGTATATACGCAATCAAATGCCTATCCTATCTATTTAATTTATATGAGAAGTTTTTTGTTAGAGGTCATCCTAGTAGTTTTTTTTCTAATACGGATAATATGTTTTATCCTTTGCAGTCAAATGGGTGCTATAACTGCTTGAGATAGGAATATTTTGGACCCCATAGTTTAAATTCTGAATATTTTAATTACGTAGCCAGACACTTTACATTGCTTTATAAACACCTGCAATAAATCTTGATAAATATATAAATATATAAATGTTTACTTACTTTTTTTCATTTAAACAACGATCAGAACTTAAAAGTTTTATAAGCTGTTACTACGTAATTTTAGCTTTTTCTCTTACTATGAATGTATAATTACAATTTCTGTATTTCTGATCGATTTTTTATTGTTGCAGCATGCCGTGAAAAGGTCATTTTTATGGTCCAATTCTCTGGTGAAATATATCGTAACATAACGTTGTTATAGCAACGCTATGTTATGCTTCTTACTTCATAGATTTTCACAGTAAAAACTGCAAAAATGCTATGTACTGTGCGATCAAGTGCTTTATACATAAAATCCAACTTTACGCATGTGTTATTATGACGAATCATAAAGATGCAGTTATGATAACATTTTTTTTTTTGACATTTGTGTGTTTTCAAGGTTAGGTTTTATATGTAAAACGCCTGACTGCACAGCAAATACATAGCATTTTGGCAGTCTTTTCTGCAAGTTTCTATAAAAAAAAGCGTAGCAAAGCGTTGTTATAGCATCGCTGTGTTACGGTCTAGTTTACCGGAGAATTGGCTCATTGATTGGAAACATATTGTTATTTATGTTTCGGTTATTATATAGGGATGTGCAAGGCAGTTATCGAGCCTGAAACTTCTGACTGACGTCTCACTAATATCTATAACTACTAATACATGGAAATGTCCTACTACTTTTAATGTGTTCGGTGGTGAAATTTGATCCGAAAATCTTAAGTAATATAGTGTACAAATTAAATTGTCTAAACTGCGACCATTTTTATATGGGCAAAAGTAGCCAACATCTACACAAAAGAATTTCTCAACATAAAAAATAAGAATCAGAATAAAACAATGCTCACGGAACACATTAATAATTTTCAACTAAACATTGATTTCCTAAACCCGAGTATATTATATTTGGAAACCAGTATATTTATAAGAAGATTTAGTGAAGGCTGTGTAATATTCCTTTGCAATAAAATTAACAGTGACAGTAATTTGCTCTGTAATGAATACAAGATATTACTTGACCAATTTTCAAACAACATTATAATTGAATGAAGAGCTCGATATTTTTTTTTTTTTTGAAGATTGCAGTTATCTGAACTTTTAAAATACCTTATAAAGCTTTGGAATTTATCTGAGCTCTACGTCTAACTTTTGTGCATAATATATCCCGAGATCTCGTTCACTTTTTTAATGCACACGTAACGTTTCTTAACGGCGTTGCTTCCAATAGCGGATTCCTTTCCAATACGCGTCGCGTTTCTCGACTTTATACTGGCATATCGACTTTAAAATAAGCTTTGGATAGAATCCATAAATAATTTAATATGCAATAATATAGTGGTTGAAGTGAATATTCAGTCATATTATTATTCACAACATATTTCGCATTTTGTTGCACGTGTATACGTCTGTCTGCTCACCTGTCATAACCAGTCTACTTAAATCATAAAGGGTTATGGAATTCTAAACGTAAAGATTGTGTATTTCAGTTTATATTGTTCTACACATTGTTCCAAAAATATTTTTGCAGATATTTTTGCATCGTCAGTAGAAAATTGGAAAGTTTTTATAATTAATTTAGAAAAAGAAAAGATGTAAGCATATTGGATTTAAAGATAGGTACTCACAGACAAAAATAATTTAACACTAATGAACACAATTGTAATTATGAATTTAAGTTAAAATACACCAAAATATGAATTTATGTTCATAAAGAGCTTTTAAAAATTATGCAAACTGGTAAATTTGCACAAAATCAGAATTGCCACAAAATTTTGACTGAAACTCCAAACCGCAAAAATTACGTGAAAACTATAACTTTACGCTTTATAAACGATCTTTACTACGCATGGAAACAACTCTTTAATAAACATTACGTTAAAGAAGTTTTTACCTCAGATAATACTTTTTCAACCCTATTTACAAAATTAAAATCTAAATTTGATCCGAAAATCTTAAGTAATTTAGTATACAAATTAAACTGTCTAAACTGTGACGGTTTTTATATAGGTGAAACTAGCCAAATCCACACAAAATAGTTTCTCAACATAAAAATAGTTCAAAAAATAAGAATCAGAATAAAACAATGCTCACAGAACACATAAATTATCTTCAGCATAACATTGATTATATATACTATACTTTACTCTCAGAAATATTTTTATTGATATACAAATTTCCCAATGATTTTGCTCAAATGTCTGTTAATTTTATAGAAAGACTAAAACAGAACACATTCACTAGAACTCTGTTACAATTTACAAATTTAATTTAATGTAAATAGTAACTCGAAGAACAATAATGATTATTTTTAACTCAACGGTATAAATATTAGTATAGGATATTAAAAAACGTAGAAGTGGGTACAGGACAACGTCTGTCGGGTCATCTAGTATATATATATATATATATATATATATATATATATTTGTAAAGCTTTGAACAAATGATTCAAACAGTGTTTTCATTTATGTACAGTCAACGCTTCGGAGTACGTTCCATTTTCCGGACATATATCAAGAATCATGATCTTGATAAGATTTGAACAAACAATATATTTAAGAAAAGTAGAAAATGGTGGATTTTTATAAAATGAATAAAATTGTGAAAGAGATAATATTATATAAAATATGACAATATAATCAAAATAACGATAAAAAATAAATGAGTGGATTGTATTACAAAATATTAAAAATATTAAAAAATTAAAACTTTTTTTTATAAAAGGGTATTAAGAAAAAACAGAATTAATTATATGTGCACAAACACTTTGTCACTAAAAATGATTTTATCAATATCAAGTGGTATTCTGTTAACTTTTTCTTAGGAGAAGAATAAATTTTGCAATTTGAAGTTATTACTATGTTTTTTCGAGTTTGCCATGTCCAAACAAGAAGTATTATTCCCTCGATGGTATGGGATTACGATTTGATTATTATTACGGATGAAATATATTGTTTGTTTGAATCCTATCAAGATCATGTTTTTTGACAGATGCCCTGAAGATGGAACGTACCTGGTTAATGAATACTGCCACTGCCATTAATTAATTTTTTGTTGAAAAAGGGCCATGTACCAAGACAAACTATTATAGAGGACACCTCTATCACAGAAAAAATGAATTGAAATGTCTTAAGATTGTATGTCAAAACTTTTGGAAAAGTAAAGATTTTGGGATGGTATTTTTATTTTGATATTCGATATCTCTGAAGACTTTATTAACATTCTCTCATCTTTGAAAATTTGCATAATCTTTTAAGATACCTACATATTTGAACATACCTGAACATATTTTTTACGTTAATATTTTTTTGTAATAGATTTATTTAGCAATCAGAAAATTACAATTTTTCTATAACCTAAACTGCGAACTATGTGAGTGCTAAAATGAAATAGGATCCACTGATCTATCTTACATTATGTCACATAATATATATATATATATATATATATATATATATATGCAAACCCGACGAACTCCGTTTCGCCACCAGATGGTTTCGTGAAAAAGATGAAGAAATTTTTTGTTTGTTTTATATTTGAAAAGGAAAAATTTGATCAGGAAGGAAAACCCGACTTATTTTTATATATATATAGAAGATAATCTATTTGCAATTATCTAAAACAATTATTGATTATTTTTATTACTTGGATTTTTAATTACGGTGCGTAAAGTTCCAGCAATTTGCATCAGGGCACGATGCCATGCCCCACTAATTTTTTTAGCTATAAACCTTGCGGAACGCGAGACCTTTCCAAAGAATGCAAAATTGTCGAAATCGGTTCATGCGTTCTAGAGTTATTTTGTCAGGAAAAAAAACTCGACTTATTTTTATATATATAGAAGATATATATATATATATATATATATATATATATATATATCTAATGATTTTTACGTTAATATTAACATATAAAACACACCTCAAAATTTTGACAATTTTTTGTTCAATCTGTTATAGTTTTATGAAATTGCTATATATATACATAACTAAAAACAGCTGAAATGAAATTGCTATATATACATAACTAAAAACAGCTGCTGTTAAAAATATAATAATTTTTGAGACAAAAATTTTCGACATTTAATTCTGATCTTATTCCAAAATTTCTATTTTGCATTTGTGAGATTTGTGTTTCTAAGTAAGTTTATATAATATGCTAATCTTCAGCCGTTATTGAAGCCTTGCAAAAGTTTGCAATTAAGATTTATATCCAACCGAAGTTAAACATAGTTTATTCAACGTGGTAATTAAAAAATTTTGATTTTCTAACTTTTTACTTTAGTCCAGTTTATAGTTATGAACTATTAGTCCTTTTTTTAAATATAAATACAGATTGGACATGGGATTTATCTATTTCAAGGATTGCTTTATCATTATTTATACTGATAGGTACTGATTTTGTGCTTTACTTGTTTTCATACATAGCTTTAATTCGACTAATAATTAATTAACATTTTTTTAAATATTAGTGATTTATAAAAATTGTACTATTTCTAATATAACCAATAAATAATTTCTAGTTATTTTTTGTACTATACATATTCCAACTAAAATGTTTCATTTTCAATGAAAAGATGGATAACACCAAGGATAGAGCGGCAAGGATGGAGGAGGAAAGCAAAGATGTTAAGGCAAAGGTGGAGCAAAGCAATGACAGAGCGGCAAGGTTGGAGGATACCAAGGATAAGGCGGCAAGGGTAGAGGAAGCCAAAGATAATGCGGCAAAGATGGAGGAATCCAAGGAGGAGGACCTGGATCTGAACAATTTTGACCCAATGTCAGATCACTATTACTCAGAAGACAATTGTTACTTGCCGGGAACATGTGGCCACCTATACAAGAAATACATTGGAAAAAAAGAGGTGAAACTATTTATCACAAACATCCCACCACGTCTCAAAGAGTCTGGTCTTAGAAACGTGTTTTCACTGTGTGGGAATGTCCTGAAGACGACACTGATTAGAAGAGAAACCCACGCATATGGGTTTGTGGTGTACGACAACGTTATGTCTGCCTTGGAAGCAATACGCACATTAAACAGGAGAGAACCTCATAACCTTAAAGTTAAGTTTGATAAGAATGTAGATAGTTTTTAGAAAATAATAAATCGAAAATGAATAACCGGGGTTTTATTTGAATTTTTATGACTTTTAACATATATGTTAATTTTTTTTTGAAAGTTTATTTAATAACATCAATTCTAAATTGGCATTGAACTACTGTAAAAGCTTTTAAATCAGATTTTATGCAAATAAAGATAATCACGGTTTTTTGGCTTAGCACTTAAAAAAATATTCAAAAAAATAAAAAATATATTAAATTCCATTTTCACTCACTCTTATTAGTCACTTATTTTTCTTTCAGTCGAACTTTGTATGCTTTTGAACAACTTGCTAATTATATTTTGTTTGGTTTAAACAGCAAATAGGGACTATATATGTTCTACATCTACCCTGTCTGTTGAGATGTATGTAGGGGAGAACGGGCCTTATAGGTCCGCTAGCAAAAAATCCACCACAAATGTGTCAAAATCAAATAAAGTTATGAAATTTTTAACAACAATTTTCGAAAGTAGAGAGCAAAAGATGTATAATTAGCAGTTGCTCTCGGGAGATAAACGTCCATGTTTGAAAATCTATAACAAAAATGTTATCTGAGTGCACTGTTGTTTAGTTTACGAGATCTTAATGAAATTCTCAAGTATACGTTATTTAATAATTTTATATGAATTATTATTATTTTTATGTTAGATTCAACAGATGTTTTTATATAACCTTTTAAAAAATTTACATGTGGGTGGGGTGCAAAGGACCAACTAAACCTTTACTCCGGCAAAGGCGTAAGTAATAAAAAATATGAAATAAAAAAGTAAATTCAATTAGTGAAAGCAATTACAAAATTAATAGTTATTCCTACTCTGCTGATGAATATTTTCTTTTTGTTTTATTGTACTTAGCAAACTATAAACACAGTACATTCATCTAATTTACAGGTATATTTATTTGACAGCGTGAGAAGGATCGCTATCCTGCAATAGCACCTTCTTAGATATTATGTGTTTTATTGTAGTAAATCATTGCAGATTCTTTTTTTGAGACGCTTTGGCGGTAAAGGCTTGAGCAGGTTACACGGTAATTGGTTTGGATCACGACTTAGACAAGCTTTGTATCTGAAGCAGTAATGATTAATTTCTTCTTCTATAGTTGGAATTCTGAGAGCTTGATGTATTAACTAGTTGGGGACATATTTTGGAGCGTTCACGATTTTTTTCAAAATTTTGTTTTCTAACCTCTGTAAAATAGTTATGTTTGATTTACTGGCCGCACCCCACGTAGGACCATATTGGTTTAATAATTGTCTTATATATTAGGAGTTTATTTTCTATTGAGACTTGTGATGAATATTTTTGACAAAATACCAGATGAAAGATATATATATATATATATATATATATATATATATATATATATATATATATATATATATATATAAATATATATATATATAGTTTCCAACAGCAATCAGAATACATAATTCTATGAGCTATTTGGTTTATGTCATTCACTCGCACACATACATACACACACACTTTCAAACACACATATAATTTAATCTGATATATATGAAGGATATAAAAAGTGTTAGCAAAAAATGTGTCAATGAAAATTATATTTACCCGGTTGAACATTATAGCTATTATTTTGTAAAATACGTTTAAAATTAAAAATAAGACATTAGAGCTGTTCGTATCCTGGATGGGAATTTACTGAATATAATTGGATAGTTGTTTATTTGATGTCTGTTATTTTTTAAGGAGTAATTGTTTTGGTTTTCACAATATAACTGTTCAAAGTCAAATTGGACCTTTGTGCCCTGCTCTACCCTAATCTTATTTTTCAAACAGCGAATTATGATGGATACATAAAAATTATACAATTATGACAATAAATAAAATAGGCAATTTTATTGAAAGATTTCACGTAATTGACAATCCGAGTAAATTACCAGTCAACTTCTCCTGACAAGCAAACTTCATAAATCCGTTACTCGTCACAAGTTCGGTGCTTCGCGGTTGTCAAGCAGTCGAAGCGTTTTCGACACCGTGAAACAAGGACTTAAGTAGTTGATTAAGTTAATAACTGAAAATCGCATTCCCGCCCATGTCCCCAAAGAGCGTAGAGGAAAACGGCGGCCGAGATCAAATAGCGAACAAAGGTTAGCCGTCAATTTGCGTGTAAGTGTCGCACATCATCGTCAGTCTGTAATAAGGTCCCAGAGGAAAACATCGCACAATGCGTAATACAACGCCGGTCGGGCTAAAGCAAAATAAATGACCAAAATCTACGGACTTGACTGGAAACTAGGTTAGAGAGTAATTGAATCATTTCTGGAACAAACTTGTTAGAACGAATATTGTGTAAACTGAACCTCAAACAGAAATGTTGAAACTGAGGAATAAAATACCTTCTAATGAATACAGGGTATAGTGAATATATAGGGAAAGGCAAGGATTAATGACTGTACATAAGTCTAACACTATCAATTTTTTAACGATACTATTTTAAAGTATAGCGAAAAAGATGTGTAACCAACCTTCGCCTTATAACGGGAGAACTCAATATCAGAAGATAAACGGCGACATTTTCAATTTTTTTTACGAAAGTATTAAGTTTTATTGCTTTGAGCAGTATTATTTAGTTTACGATAATAATAAAAATTATAGTCTACTCGAAGGCAGATCCATGGCGTGAGAGCCACCACAAATCAATAAATTTATTTCTCGTCATTGTCTATCATTCCCATTACCATTATTCCTCCTTTTTTTATATTTTCTAAACTTCTGCTTATATGGTTCCTGGTCCTGTGCTTCGGTTTTGAGTTCCCTGTATTTTTTCTGCTCACGTAAGTCATCAATCATCTGCGTTTTTTTTTGCATTTGCATTTTTTTCCTATTCCTTTCAGCCCTCTTAATTCACCATCAACCACATCGTGTAGAAGGCACTCTTTCTGCAGAATAGATCCGATCCAGTTTTCTTTGCTTTTCAGAATCGTTTTCGGTAGAGTTCTTCCTTCGCTCGCTCTTCTAGGGACTTCTTTATTTAATATCTTAGCTGTCCATTTTATTTTCTACAGTCGTCTCCTGTACCATATTTCAAAATTTTCTAGATAGCGTTTGTCAGCTTTCTTAGAGTCTATGTCTCTGATCCGTAGAGAGCAATGCTCCATACACAACATTTTATTAGCCTTTTCCGCAATTCAAGACTCGGTTTGCTCGTCAGTAGCGTTGTCTTCTTCGTTCTTAGTTTACGATGCCTGCATATAAATTTTATAAAAAATAACATATAAAAAATAAGTTAAGTTAAAAAAAGAAATTACGAGAGATCAATTCAATTAAAGTTAGTCGACGCCTGCTTATGAATATTTCTTTCGAAATACCAGATCAAGTTTATATACAGTGAAATCTTTGTAAAATATATTCCCATAAACTGCGCATTTCACATTGGTTAAATAATGTAGCTATTATTTTGTAAAATCTCTTTAAAATCTCAAAAAACGTTGGATTTGTTTAGCCCCTGGCTGTACCTTGCTACCCCTCTTATGGGGCAAAAGCAAGATGACAAATTTTAGAAAAATAGTAAAAGAACATATTTCTATAATCAGGAGTTATCTCGGAATTTTACTGAACAATTCATTTTCGGTTCAACCGAAATGCATACGATTTAAATGATTCACGAAGGTGTCACGATTCATGATCAACGATTTGACGAAGACAAGTCTAGCGGTTTCGGAAGTCCATAAAAATAAGTTTTAAAAAAGCCATTTAGCAGTCAAAAATTATCATTAGATATGAGCACATCAAATTATCAGATGTTTTATAAAAAAATTATAGAGAAATAGTAGGAGAACATATTTCTATAATCAGGAGTTAACTGGGAATTTTACTGAACATAGTTCGATAGTTGTTTGTTCGATACATGTTATGTTTTGCCATGTATTTAGTTTAGTTTAGAGTAGACAGTATAATTACTGAAAGTCAAATTTGACCTTTGCGCCCTCCCCCTGTCCCACAATTAAAAAAATAAATTACTTACAAAAGAAATTGCTTGTTTGTGTTCAGACATTACACTATGTGTGTATACATTTATATGCACGATGAGTAAAGAAGCATTCTGTAAAATATTCATCTCGTTCATTATTTCGCTTAGTTTGCACAATTTAGTCATTAGTTTATACTTGTTGTTTGTTTAATCTTTGACGCATTTCACCCGTAGACGTTTGAAAATCATGGCATTAAGTACAAAATGTAGCAGCTTTGCGACATTTTCTCTCGTAAACTTATTCAACTACTTAAGTCATTGTTTTCCAGCTTCGACTGCTTGACAACCGCGCACCGCTAAAACTTATGTAGAATATACCAGTTTCAGAAGTTTGCGATGTTTGCTGCCATTTACATATAACTCGCTTTATGTGAAAACTCGAACGTATAATGTCAATTATTATTATGTAAAATTTTCAAAATATAAAAGCTATATTACTACGATATCATCATAACGTATAACTAATGATCAGTGGCAACATGAAGATTAAAAAACGGTTTTCTTATTAACTTCCCGTAGGGTAAGTTATAGTAATCGCAAAAAAATCGAAAATGAAAATTTTTATATATCTTTACGTTTCAGAGGTTTCTTAACATTTTGGCATACCTTAGAAAAAATGGATGTATGTGTGTGTGAGTGTGTGTGTGTGTATGTGTGTGTGTGTGTGTATGTATGTATGTATGTACGTGTGTGTATGTATGTGCGGATACAAATTTTCGTCGACGATTTCGGGAACACGGATCAACCGATTTGAATAATTCAAAAAACATTCGATTCGTATTGATAAGGAGACGTGCTGATTAGTTTTTGGCGAAGGCAGGTCCAGCCGTCCCAAATATACGGGGCAAAAAGTGCCGAAAACGGTAACTCAGTTTTTAAGAGAACGGAGCGTCCGATTTTAATAATTCAAAAAACATTTGACTTGTATTGACAAAATGAAGAATTGATCAAATTTTCATGAGGGCAGGTCTAGCGGTTTCGGAGATCTAACGAAAAAA